TGTGAATTATAATACCAGCTTTCAAAAAGTGTGATTTTACTTCTGCAATTCTGTTGCTGTTTTCTCAGTCTGTTTAGTTGTTGGTAATTGATCCTTCTGAATGTGCCCTCCCTCTGTTGTCTGACCTCTTCAGGCTGCTTGGATTGTGCAACAACTTTGGTTATGTGGTCATGCTGAGCGCTGCACACGACATCCTCAAGAGACAAGAGTCTCAAAACACCACAGCATCTGTAAGAAGGCAAATTTGTATTTACGTTGTTTTGTATGTGTTATGCTGATTGGTATTGCTAAAGATTTTACACTATAAAGTCTATTTACATATCAAGCAAATAATTCACTTCTCACTTCTTTTTTTGACTAATTCTAGACAGAAGCCACATTGGCCGTGGGTTTCCAAGGTGGGAACAGTAGCAACAGTAGCCGTTATGACTGCAATCCTGTCTCTACTGCGGTAAATGCAGATTCACAACACACCACTGAATAATCTCAGAAGCCGCTTTCAGACATGCACTGAACTCCCAATAATCTCCTGACATCATCAAGGGGCTGTATGTGTGAACGCAAATACAAGAGTGAGAGGCTTGGGACTTATTCCAAAATTGAAATAAAACAGAAAGAATACAAACGTCTCAGATTGAAAATGCGATGCCACACACGTAGAAGAGGAGGATGTCAAAAGAGTCGGGGTCAATATGCTGTTAAAAACGTGATCCTGCAGCTGAAATAATACCCTCATACCTCTTCCTGCTGCACCACCCCTAACCTAAACGAGGTTGTGTCGTGAAAATCTCCTGCTGCATTCTTCATGTGTGAAAAGAAAACTCCACAGAAAGTCCAGACCCAATTGTTCGAACTGTCTCTGGAATGTCTGAAAACAGCATATCAAGTCTGCATGTGGACAAAGGACACAATAGAGATGATGTGCAGGGTTTCCTCAGTCTTTATTTGACAGTGGTTTATCTATTTAAATGTTTTATTTTCAAGCAAAACCATACAATGAGTGAACGAGTTCTGATGTAACTAATGTGGCTGTAAATCTATAAATACAAAAATGTTGAGTGCTAAGATTCCTCAGCAGGGGTTTGAGCTCATGATGACATTCTAATGCTTTACTTCTCAGGCGGTGCTTTTGGCTGACATCCTCCCAACGCTCATCATCAAGCTTTCTGTTCCTTTTGTCATCCACAATATGCCTTATGGGTAAGACCCTGATTCTTACTTCTAATTATGTTCGATAAAGTATAAACTTAGATGACTGTTCACTGACATTTGATTGAAGTCAAAATCATCGGTATGTTTGGTAAAGCAATTTCTCACAGCTGCTGGTTTTTGCAATAGAGGTAACAGTGACCTCCCACTTTTAGAACGACTCTGGTTCCAGAAGTAAACTTCCCATTCATTTTCTCTTTTGGTATTTCAGAAAATCTTTTAAAGTTTTAAGCCTGGGATTTTAACTCTAGATACCACAAAACTCGGAACCATACCATTGTGATTTTTGCAGTCGTAGTAAACATTTCCCACAGTGATCTCCACCAATCAGATGTCGCTATTACATCTGAGGATTGTGGGTAGTGTAGTTCTTCTTGTCGTCATGAATAAAACACACGTTTTGTTTCTTAAAGCACAGTTGATCATTTGAACTTGTGCCTTCTACAGACAACATAAAATTGATTTACAGTCTTGTAGCTTGTGTTTAGTCCACCTGGTTTCCAAAGTTTAGCTGATAATCAAAACCTCTATTTATTCTATTCAGAAAATGATGGCATTTAATTCCGGAACCACACTGCGGCTTTTTTTAATGGTATTTATGTATTTATATTGTGTTTTTTCAGTCTTGATGACCACCCAAAGCACTTTACAGTACAGTTTTACATTCACCCATTCATACAGTGCATCTATGGGCAGCACATATTCTATAGGCGGCCATTCAGGGTTCAGTATCTTGCCCAAGGAGACTTTGGCATCCAGGTTCTGTGTGACTGTGATCAAACAGCCAACCTTCTTGTTGGAGGACAACCGCTCTACCCTTCTCTTAAGCTGAATAATGATTACAACAAACACTGAAAATTGAATCGATAATAATGGATTTCAGTTCACTGCTAAGTGTTGATTCAAATGACTCTCTGTTACTTCATGTGTTGCTGTATTCAGCCTTGCACTCATTCTATTTATTAAAAACCACGAAAGCTTAATGACTTTCCAGATGGCAGAAATGCTTTTTCATTGTTTTCATTCTCGAATAGTTTCCACTTGCTTCCATGATGCTTTTGTGTCATCGTTAACCTGCCCAGCACGGTGCTGCTGGCCCAGATGTTTCAGTTGTGCAGTCGTTCTGTGGCCATAGTTTTTCTCTCTTCCTGTTCAGGATTTTATTTTAAGAACATGTGCACTAAGTGTTGGATTGGGGCTTAAAGGATTGTCTTGTTATTTTTTATTCTGATTCTCTATTCACTGTCAGAATTGCTACTTTATGTTACTTGTATATGACTCTGTATACAAGAGTCAGTCTGCAAGTACTCGGACAATGAAGACATACTGCTGCACAGATAAAAACATGGTCATTTTTTTTATTACCTAAACATTGTACTCTTTTACGAATTTCTTGTGTAATTTCTGATTTTAATTTTTAGTATCCGAGTGTTGTTCTGTGTCGTCATGGCAGCGACGAGTTTCCTCCTTGTGTCCTTATCGTCTGCCGTCTGGATCAGCATCCTTGGTAAAGCCACCATTTTCTTTACAAATAGTATTATTTATCTCAGTTGTAGCGGTTAAAACCACCAGTGGTGGGATTGACTCTTATCAAGAATTCAGATGATGAACACGCGACAGCGTCAAATCTTTAGCCCCAGTTTCAGTTCCTTTATCTCAATAGCAGCAGTAGCAGCTGCGGTTCTTCCAGAGAAATGTGACACCACTGCACAGTCTTCTCGTGACCCGCTGTTACAAATATTAATCACCACGCTTCACCTGATCAGTAAAGTGATGTTCAAATTCAGGCATTCCTGTTCCATCTTCCTGTGGTCACTCAAATATTAACTGATTAGATTTCAGTGGTCAACAGCTGACACGTTTCTCTACATAATTCCATACAGCCCAACATCACCATCTATCGCATTCTCCAAAATTATCCTACATTTGAAACAGCACCTCTTTAACACAGAAACATTATGTTTCTAATAAACTGACAAACTCAGGTTTCATTTCCCTGTAAAGTTTATTAAATACACTGAATGTAAACTTGTGCATAAATGCACCTCTGTCCTTCCTCTATTCACTCACTCGGATTGTGTTTCTGTGTTATGTATGTGTTTGTCACTGTTGTTTGCAGGAGTGATCTTTGCCAGTATCAGCGCTGGACTGGGAGAACTGTCCTTCCTCTCTCTCACTGTCTTCTTCACCAGGTAAACATTTCATGCTTTTTCATTTTCCATCAAACCTGAAGCTTCAAGTGAAATTACATGAACTAATAGTGAAATATTCTTATTTCCATTAAGGTTTGATTAATTTTCTAATTTTCTAATTAATCCTAACTTTTGACACATTAATTTCTTCCCCTGTCGGTAAGTCTTTGCATTTTGCCAGCAACTTGGAACCTTTGCAGTTTAAAGTTGCTGTTGTTAGAGCTTCTTGGAGGGTACCCCCATGGAGGAGGTTTCAAACTAATCCCTCCTCACAACTGAAATATCAATCGACAACAAAGTAATCATGAATGTTTGAAGTAAACTCTTATGTCCCTGAAATATACTTTAGTGGAAACGTGTTGGCAATGATGTCAAGTAGCTGCTGTGTGCTTCTCATGTGGTATTTTTGTAATTATTTGTTTTTAAATCTAGAGTGATGCGTCAGATGACCATCTTAGAGTTCAGATTGTGATCATTGGTTTTGTGCTTGTCTCAGGGACGTGCTGGGAGGTTGGGGGTCAGGTACAGGTGGTGCTGGTGTTGCCGGAGCCTTCCTCTACTCAGCCCTCACCCAGGTTGGCCTGTCACCTCAGCTCACACTTCAAATTATGCTGGTGGTCCCATTTGCTATGTTGATCAGGTGAGAATGGAAACACAAGATAATGATTGTGGCGTTCGACCACGCCACGGGGTTCCCCTCACGACAGCCAGAGACAGACCAGTCCAACCATTGTGTGTTCAACATCTTTTATTGCATCCCAACTGAAACTTACAACACATGTAACTTAACTGGTCCAGCACTTTCTGCTGGACCTTCAGCTTCACCCAGTCTCTCTTCCCAGTGTCTTTCTCCCGAGTGTCTTCCGCGTGCGTTCCCCCGAGTGTTCTCAGAGCGTTTCTCTCGAGTGTCTTCTCGAGTGTGTCCTGTGCGTTCTGTGCGTTCTCCCGAGGCAGCTCTGCTGCCTCCTTTTAAAGTCTGAGGATCAATCAGCTAACAGCTCTCACCTGTGCTGATTGATCCTCTGTGGTGCAGGTGAAGGTGCTCTCTCCGCCCCTTCACCTCCACAATGATGTACTGTATTCGCTGTCTTTACGTCTTCCTAGGACTGTTAAATACAAGTTAAGTGCATAAACCTTCCAGAAACAATTCTACCATCCACAATACAGTTACATTTTAGCTAATGTTTGAAAGCATTGTCATTATGATGTTTTCATTTTGTTAATTGTGACCAAAGATCTGAATAGGATTTGACACATTCACACATTAAAACCCAGCAACGCCAGTATGATGCAGTTTAATATGCATCATGATGTTCTAATAACCTGTTCAGTGACTTTCCTGCTTGTGCTGGTTAGTTGTTGTTTATATAATTCAGTGGAGCTGGGCCACCTAACCTGAAATAAAGATTACCACCACACATGTCCTGCAAAACGTGATAAGATTATTTTGAATAAACCCAGAGCTGAAGTTTTATTTCACACTGTAAATGTCACTTACAGTGTGGTTGAGCTGGTTAAGGCTATCTACCTATAACTATATCATAGGATTAGATGCATCAGAATGAGGATGGCTGATCTTCTCTGCTACTGCCTCTGCAAATACTTTCTTAGAATAGTAACCATGTGGCTTATTATGGACTTTTAAATAGTAGTAGTAATAAGTAGTCCACTAGTTGTTTAATGGTGGAATGCATGTTTTTTCTGGCCCTTCAATGTGAGTGAGAGAGATGGGACATTCAGAGAATTGCTGCCGGCCTCCCTTGTCCACTCTGTTGGCAGCTCATGCTAACTTTGCTGCTGCTAGCAGGTGCAGGTTTAGATAGCTATTCATAGCTCAGGTATTGTAGTTGTATTTAGGGCCTTACATAAAGCTGCAGGTGATAGATTCATTTATACATTTGGGTAAAATATTTTCACACTATTGATTGTAGTCGAGCATCTGAATCTGTTCGTACAGCCATGTTTCTTCCTGGCTCTTACTGCATGTCTGCTGCTTTAGCGTCCACACTTCATTGTTGAAGTCAGGCATGACAACTATGACTTGTGAAATGCTTGTCAGTAACAACATCGCCCCCTGCTGCATATCTGCTGTAAATTCCACTGCTGCTTTATTACTGCACTGTGCTAAACGCACAGATGAATGACTCGTCTACAATGATGGACAGTGTCAACGAGTGGTTTTGATAGTTGACTCACGGAGAAGTCCGTGAAAACCTATACTGACAATACTTCAAAGATTTAAATGAGAATGATCAACTATTGACCACAATGGTAATGCTGAGTGATGTTTGTCTACTTTAACATGTCAGCATTAAGATCCAACATTTTCTCTGGGAAATCTGTTAAAATGTCAATGTTATGCAGTATTGAAGAAAGTGATAAAAACATCCTGGATATGCCCCCTTGTCCAGATCTGCAGCAAAATTCAATGTTTTTGGTCTTGGCATTTGTCCCACCCTTACACCAAGTTTCATGGAAATCCGTTCATTAGTTTTTACTTACTGGTGCTAACAAACAAACAATCCAACCGACAAACAAACATACAGGGGTGAAAACTTAAGCTTCCTGCCAGAGTTAAACTTTTGTGTCAGTCCACAGATGCCTTTCTTCATCTGTCCTGTACTTGTATTTTTAGTGAAATCACTTCTGTTTATTTCTTTCCTTACACCAACCTGCTGCCCTGCTCCTTGGCTTTGTTTCATCACACAGCTATTTCTTCCTACTGGTTCCTCCACCGTCATTACCTCAGTGGAAATCCAGAAGGACAGAGTATGCAGCCGTGGGCTCAGAGGAGAGCCAGGGGCTGATGGATGGTGCAGAAGAAGAGGAGCAGGAG